TATATTTTTATTCCTTATTTACTTGTTCTATTTTTTATTATCTGTGTTTTTTGTTCTGTCACTGTCATTCTGTTACACTGTGGAAGCTTCTGTCACGAAAACAAATTCCTCGTATGTGTAAACATACCTGGCAATAAAGCTCATTCTGATTCTGATCTCCTGAACTGCATCTTTCTTTACCACGCTATTTAGTGCCATTCCCGCCGTGCAGTCAATTTCACTGGTTAAGGTTAGGGTCAGGTGTGGGGTAGGTTTACGGGTTAGCATTTTTTGTAGCATAGTGTAGGAAATCAACACTTTAATTGACACAACCAATAAAAACGTTAGAATCAGCTGTGGGGCGGAGTTTGCACTGAAGTGGATAGGGGGTTTCTTTGTGTGAACATTTGGGCGGTGTTATGCAAATCTTCCCACATAGTGTGGTAGATATGTGGGGGCGTGTTCGAACGAGCCGTTTTAGGTAGGTGTGGCTAACTCTTAACTTTTATAAAGAATATCTCTTTGGATTTGAGACTTTAGTCTTTGCAACTTTACAGATCTTCTTTATGCACCAAGAGCTTGTAACACTCTAAAGAGAAAGGAAAAAATGAAATCGCATCATATGACCCCTTTAAATATTTTATGTTTATACTGTATAAAAAATAACACACAAGATTGGTATCTGTTTCTATGTACTACCTGTCCTTGAAGAACACTGTTTCTCCCTTAAATGTCGTCACTGCATCCCAGACCAGGTTTTGACAATCTGGTTGTGGTTTTGTTACTGGTTTTGGTTTTAGTGGACCTGAAGGGATTACCACATAGTAAACAAACAACTGAATATTTTTGACTCAGAAATTATAGATATTCTCTTGGTGATCATATTACCATAGAGCGACTGAATCCCTTCAATGTCATCAGAGGACAGAGGAGAACGATCCGGATCAGTGAAGGTGTATGTAGGAAACATCAGAGCGCCAGGAACGTTAGAATGAGAAAGACCCAAAGAGTGACCAAACTCATGGGCGGCCACCAAGAACAGGACATGACCTGTGGAGAAATTAAGCAGAATAGTTTGGGTACAAAGTAAAAAGGTTAATTACCAAAAGGTAAAATTTTTACTTGAAATCGAAGTGGTGTCAAAGCTGAGGCTTTGAAAAATATTTTAGCAAAAAAAAAAAAAAAAAGGAAAGAAAAGAAAAGAAAAGAAAAAAACTCACCTCTTGATGAGCGGAATGTGAAAGACTCATCATCATCGAAGTGTACATCTCCACCGTTTCCAGAACCAGGAGCAAAAGCATGAGCCAAAGTGCCTTGTGGTCCATCAAACAACAGGCCATCACCATGATCTGTAAGAAAGAGTTTATTTGTCTTCTCTCCTAAATTACATACATACATACACACATGTGTGACACGTGTGTGTGTGTGTGTGTGTGTATATATACATATACATATGAATTAATGAAACATAGAGAATCTGTATTTTAAAAATTTTGAATTGTTGTGCATCTAATTGAATTGAACTACTCTGAATTTGAAATATTTGAAAAAATGCTTTGAATTTGAAAAAAATTTAAACTGATTATTTGATTTTAATCGGAACTTGCTTTTAACATGTATATCACCAAAATACCAAGTTTAAATTTAGTTCAAAAGAATACATCAAAATAAAAAAAACACATGGTTGTTAAACAAAATATGAATATAGATAAACTGATAGATGAAACTTACCTCTTGTAGCAAAGGAGATCATGATGTCAGCTGTGCCCCTGTTGATACGGGTGAATTTCAGAGGAGTGACTTTGGCCCAGACCTGCAGGGCTTTCTCCATGGATGTATCCACTTCAGCTTTTGACAGGTCAGGGGTGTAGTTCACGATTCTGTGGAAAAGGATCATTCTCTGTATCTGCTTCTTTCACTTTGCCTTTTTCCAGTGATGCAAAGAGAGCTGTTATTATACACACCTGTAGGTGAGCTCGTTGGTCTGCCATTTGGGTTCGTCTCCAAATGTGGAGTACGCAGCAACATCTGGAACTCCACAGCGGGGCTTCTTCATCACCCCCATGGTTTCTTTGTTCAGCTTTCCAGTCACCTTAAGCCCGAAAAACTTCTGCATCTCTTTCAGCTTCTTGGACAGTTGATCATTGTTTGCTTCTGGGCGAAAAACGGCAGCGTATGTTGAGTCTTCCAGATTGTAGAAGTTTCTCAGGTAATCCTAAAATGCAAATAAACAAGGAATTATTGGACAAACTATGGGCAATTGCAAAACATGCAAATACAAGTATTACATGAAAAACAACATACCTCTGCAATGTCTATATCTTTGTCAGATGGCTGTGAAATCGGTCCAGCGTGAAGAACAAGCAGTAGGCTTGCAAGAAAACACAGCTGACGGTGAATCCCCATGTTGTGAGCTGCTTCTTACGCTTGTGTGCTTCGCTTTTATTTGATTAGTGTCTGATCACGACTTTACTTATATACTCTTAAAACTGTGAGGTGTTGAGTAACAGGTGAAATTAAACCATCAAACTGACAGACAAGATAATAATTAAAGGATTTTGAGCTTTCTTGCCACAGCCTCTTCCTCCTCGCCCAGATACTTGTATTATTTCTCTTTCCTCATACCTTTATTTAACGGCAACATTTTTAAGCGGTTCTATGTTTTATAAACACAAACAAGAGCAAATTTTTGTTTATGCTTTTAAATGTTATGATAAAAACAACAGTGATAACATTACAAGCACTGCAGGGGTGTATAATGATTACTGTACTTAAGTATTATTTGGGGGGATTTGTACTTAAGTACTATTTATATTGACTTCTTGTACTTTTACTTGATTTTTTCCTGAAGAAAAAAACTGTACTTTTTACTCCTTACAGGTTTATGTCAACTTGTAAAGTACTTATTACATTTTTGCATTTTATATTTTTCTGCACATGCATTTCAGCTTCAGTTATACTTAGTCAACTTTCATCAGGGAAATTTCTGGCTTCAAATGTAGCCATCAAATCTGAGGAGGAATACCGAGACAGAAAAGTTGATTTTTTTTTTACCCCCAAAAAGTTTCTTTATTATATGTGAATGAACATTATATGTTAAATTAATCATAAATCATGTTTAATGATGCTCTTAGCAGGGAGCGGACAAATGGCATTATAATGATATATTGATATTACATGTTTTGCTCATTAATTAATATAATTAATCATAAATAATTACATAACAAAATATGCTGAGAAAAAAATCACTAAATGCCCCAAAAACAATTAAAAGCTTAATTATTGTTACAGACAGGGGCGCTGAATAGACAATACAAAATCTGGCCTTTTCAACAAGCCGGTATTGTGTTTTAATTCTGTCACAATTCTACTTACGTAATTTATTTATGTATACTTTTACTTATAAAAGCATTGTTTTAACAATGTTTTACCTTAAATGTAAACATATTGCCTTGTTAAAATAATACACAGTTGCAGCATATATAAGCTAGTTAATTCATGTAGACAGGGGCGCTGAATAGACAATACAAAATCTGGCCTTTTCAACAAGCCGGTATTGTTTTAATTCTGTCACAATTCTACTTACGTAATTTATTTATGTATACTTTTACTTATAAAAGCATTGTTTTAACAATGTTTTACCTTAAATGTAAACATATTGCCTTGTTAAAATAATACACAGTTGCAGCATATATAAGCTAGTTAATTCATGCTTTTATCTTCTAGTTAAAATTAAATTAAATTTAAACTTAAAAAAGCAACACTTAAAAGACCTTCTCTCATATCCTGAAATATATATTTTTTTTTATCTTTATCCACTTCTAAAATGGTAAATCTTGCATTTGTTTAGGGTTAGGATTAGAGTTTGGTTGTACTAATTGCTATTTGCTTCGTTTCAGAACAAAATAAATCTAAGGGAAAGCCCCAATTTAGGGAACAAAGCTGTGCATGTTTGTGCAAAGAGCATGAGGTGAGCTTATAGGGCATTATGTAAGATCTGCAGGTAATACCTGCTGTTGTCACTCTTTATTGAATGAGTAATGATTTATAATTGATAAACTAATAACTGAGACTTTCAAGCTTTAAAAAATGAATAATAAAACTGTTTAACAGTTCAAGTAACTTCTGGAGGCACGTTTCTGCAGTTCTGCACATGGTGGACGTCCCACTTGATGCTGACATACATTTCTGTCTGTTCCTCACACAAAACTTAACATACGGCTTCAGAAGAGCTGAAAAGGGACCATTGTTAAACATCTTGAACGATAGCGTTGGTTAAACTGTCATCACTCTTAATATGTTTTGATGTCTTTTCCCATACTTGGTGATTGAAGGTAATGGTAAAACAACTATTATATTATACTACATAAAATTACTGCCTCCTGTATTTTTTCTTTTTTTTCTATGTGCCTTTGATTCTTTCATTTGTAGTTATTTTGTCATATTGCAATTTCATATTGATTTATTCAGTTTAAAAACAAAATTTAAAAAAGGGGGAAAGGTAGCCTAACTGTTTCTTGCCTTAAATATGTGGGTATTTAAGACAATATTATATATACTAAAAATACATATATTCAAAACTTTCACCAAAAAAATGTATATTATTAAAATTTTTAGTTGTAGTTGTCACTACCTGGTTGTATACCACATGCACAATGAGGAAGATGACGGTTCAAACAGTCTTTAATAAATCCATAAGTAAATTCATACACTAGCAAACAAAGAAGCACACCCATGCACTGAAGATACCGGAACAAAGTCAAATTAAGTACAAGGACTTACTGGAACAAACAAAGGGAATTAATTAGGACACTGCTGAATAGAATGACTCATAAAATCTGAAACCAAAGTAACAAATAATGAAACTGACAGACAGGGAGAAAGCAAACACAGGAAAAAACAACTCGAACTGAACATTTTATAAAAAATATTTTAAATAGGTGTCAGATATTTAATAATAATATAATACAGTAAAATATAATACTGTAAAAATACTAATCTATTAAAAACCTTTACCAAAAATGTTACATTATTATTAGATATAATATTAACTTTTGTATATTATATATACATTTCAAAACATATCTATCTATATTGCAAGAAATCTTGTTTTTGTATACATTTCCAGTTTAAAAAAGCTTAAAATGACAATTAAAAACAGATGTTTTGCCATATTAGTTTAAAAACTGACCTTGTATAAAATATTTACATATTTTATGGAAGGTATTATCTTTATTAATTCCAAAAGTTTGCTATCTTACAAAAATTAAAGAGAAACTGAAAAAAGCTCTAACTGCGTTTTCACATAATATGAAAACGGTTGTGAGGAGTTTTACAAAAATTTCACAAAAACTCTTGCATAGTAACTTCAATAACCATGGTATTTGTGGTAAGACCATAAGCACACAATGTGCAGCTCCTCATTATGGTTAGACCAGTGTAACTATGTTTTATATAAAATAAAGTAAAATTTGTGTTCTGACACGAGAACATTTAGACATCTCTTTTACCTTATTTAGGATGGCCAATTGTTCATAGTTACAAAAAAAAGTGACAGAGTAAACTTTGTATTTAGTACAACATATCAAAATTCCCCAACGTCTTCATAATGTGATGTGTGTTCAGGTTTCAGGCAAATGTTTTTGCCTGAAGTTTTATTACAAATTTTTAAAAGCAGAAGGTTTTGTGTGAGGGTTAGGAGATTGAAAAATTAGCTCAGAGTACATTCTGCACTCTTCATTGCTATGTACTTTTTCTGGATTGTGTAGATTTTGCATGTCTCATTTATTTCCTATGGCGGCCAATTTTGACCGTGAACGGGACAATCATGACTATTTTTTAAGACCATTTAGTCTTTTCTAATGCTCATGTTTTTTGTGTTCATATAGTAAGTGCACTATGTAAGGCATTGTCAGGCTTGTGTTGTGTTTTGTTCCCCATGTGCTCCCTGTGTCCCAGTGTTTATGCCCATATTTGGTTGGTTTCCTGTTCCTGTCCTGATTATGTTGATTTAATTCCAGGTGTTTCCCGTTTAAAAAAAGTGACAGAGTAAACTTTGTATTTAGTACAACATATCAAAATTCCCCAACGTCTTCATAATGTGATGTGTGTTCAGGTTTCAGGCAAATGTTTTTGCCTGAAGTTTTATTACAAATTTTTAAAAGCAGAAGGTTTTGTGTGAGGGTTAGGAGATTGAAAAATTAGCTCAGAGTACATTCTGCACTCTTCATTGCTATGTACTTTTTCTGGATTGTGTAGATTTTGCATGTCTCATTTATTTCCTATGGCGGCCAATTTTGACCGTGAACGGGACAATCATGACTATTTTTTAAGACCATTTAGTCTTTTCTAATGCTCATGTTTTTTGTGTTCATATAGTAAGTGCACTATGTAAGGCATTGTCAGGCTTGTGTTGTGTTTTGTTCCCCATGTGCTCCCTGTGTCCCAGTGTTTATGCCCATATTTGGTTGGTTTCCTGTTCCTGTCCTGATTATGTTGATTTAATTCCAGGTGTTCCCCGTTTATTTCCATTGATCCCAGGTGTGTCTCATCATCCCCTTGTTTTGTCATGTGTTTAAATAGTGTTCCCTGTTTTTAGTTCAGCGTCCGGTATTGTTTATGTCTACATGTGCTATGTGAGTTTTCCTTGTTATAATTAAAATTCTCTGGATTGATGTACTCCTCGTCTCCCGCCGTTCCTTGCTCCGCACTCCACTCAGTAGTGCAACCGTGACAGGGATAGTGTAGTGTTTTATATGCTACACTTTATATGCAACTCAAAACTTTTAAAAAATTTCAACCCATTCAACAACAAGTGTGATGCCCACAGTGTGTAGATTTGCAGAAACATGCATCCAGTAATAATTACCTTAAGCTGGTTTCTGAAACACCCAATGGTGCAACTTGGACACATCATCAGTGATGAATCCAGTGTTGTAGGGTGTTTCGGGTCTTAGCTCTGTGATTTCATTCCTGTACTGTGTCCCACTTTATATTAGGTGGCCTTAACTACTATGTACTTACGTTTAAATTAATAATTTGATACAATGCACTTACTGTGTACATGGTTTTACATTGGACTTCTATTTAAAAAAAATACCTGCATGTAATTGCATCTGTAATTAATTTCTGTAATTACATTTAGTATTACACTGTTGACCCATTCCTTACACCATAACCTACCCATACCACCAAACCCTGTCCCTAACCTTACCCGTATCCCACCTCAGTAGCAGCAAAAGTGTTTTGCAATACAATATGAACACAATAAGTACACTTTTTGATGTAAATACATAGTAGTTAAGGCCACTTAACCCTGTACTGTATCCCTGTAATTTCTAATTGGTTAACCAACACTGTCTCAGTCTCCCCTATTTAACACTTCCACATTTGGTGTCAAGCTGGTTAATAAACAGGGAAAATCTGATTTTTCATCAAACTGCTCAAATCTTTATTTTGAAATTGCATCAATCAAGACATGTTTTATTTTGTCCTTTTGTTGCACATAATACATTAAAAATGATATTAAACTACCTACTTTTCTGTAAAATAAGTTAGAAAGTTACTTAATAATTTACTTTAAAATACTGACGGTTCAGATTCTCCTTCATGCAGGCAGAATATTGCTGAGCTTTAAAGAAAAACTCAACTTTAACTGACTAACAGGGCAGGAAATAATTGTTGTTGAGAACACGGAGCAGCTTGTTGTTGTAGGCGCCAAACTCAAACATCTTTGATCCACTGAAGAGATAGTTGAAACCTAAAAATGATCATGAAAGACCGTGTTAGATGGGATTTTACTTCCGATTTTCTTGTTTGTAAGTCTCTTTGAACAAAAGCGTCTGCTAAATGAATGAAAGTAAATGTTGTGTGTTACATTTCGCTAAACCCACCTTTATACTGGAAGGCTGCGGTCACCTTCCCTGTCATTCCAGGGAAAACGTCTTCCACCGCTTTAGGATAACCTTTCTCGACTCTGCGTTGTTCCTCATTATAACTGTCCAAAATAAATTCATGTTAATTGAAGGTTCTTGAAAAAGATGACCAACTCAATCAGACTAAGTGATTTACTGACCTATAAATCTGGTTGTTAACGAAAAACAGGATTTTGTAGCTGGTCTCATCGTAGAGGACTGCGTCGACTTTCTGCACTTTTCTTGGCAAATGGAACATGCTAAGACTCTTGGGATATCCCTGTGCAATATCATAGCCATAGAGAGCCCACACCTTCTCACCTGAGGTGTGACAACATTTTCAAATTATATTTCATGTCTCATATGTCATAGTTATCTTCACTCTTAAAAATAAGCATTCTTTATTGGCATCTATGGTTCCATGAAGAACCTTTAACATCCATGCACTCTTGAAGTTTTCACAAAAGAACTTGTCAGTGAACAGTTCTTAAAAGAACCATTTTCCTTGGTGTGAAAAACACTAAATAACCCTTTTCCCCTATGAAGAACCTTTTGTGCATTGGAAAAGTCCTATGAATGTTAAAGGTTCTCACTGAAAGGTTCTTTGAGGAACCTAAAATGGTTCTTCTATGGCATCCCTACAAAACCCCCTTTTGGAACCTTATTTTTAAGAGTTCTGTCATTTCTATTCATATGGTTTTTACCTTTGATAATGAAGACTTTGTCTTCCAATGGACTCTCGAATGCTGCATCGATATGATCTGGAATCTCAGGCCAGAAGCTTGTGATGAGATGTTGTTCAACGGTTGCACTCAGAGGATAACTGCGCCAGAAGAAGCTGCAAATAAAGCCGGATACCGACGGGTCAGATATGACACGTCTCAGCTCACGAGGACATGTTGCAAGCATTTCTGTCTCTTTACCTGCCCTTGAAGAACATGATCTCTCCGCGGAGCATGGTGACAGCATCCAGGACCAGTTTGGGATCGCATTTGTTTGGGGTAACTGGTGGTGTGGGTTTTGGACCTGTTACATCAGGGTTTGGGCCTGTTTGATAAAAAAGTCAAGTTATTAGAAACACCACTTTCAGCGTCTTTTCAAACCATCATTGATGTATCCGATTTGTAGCATATTTACCATAAAGAGACTGGATTCCATCGACATCATCTTTAGGGAGGACAAAGGTATCGATGTCTCTGTAAACGTAGGTGGGATACATCAGTGCACCCGGATCCCGGGAATGTTCGAGCCCTAGAGAGTGTCCGAACTCATGGGCAGCCACCAGAAACAAATTGTAACCTGAAGAATAAGTGGGAATGTAAATACAGCTGGGTTTTTCTTTTGTGCATTGGTACAAGCTGGAGACGTTTCAAAAGTAATCTGCCCTCACCTTGAGGAGATCTGTAGAAGAACTTCTCGTCATCGTCAAAATGGGCATCACCACCGATGCCTTCATATGGAGGGAAAGCGTGAGCCAGAAAACCATTTGGCCCGTCAAAGGGGTATCCATCCCGATGATCTGGAAAGAAGAAGAGATTTGTTTTTTAAAGTACTCTTAAACTCACTCTCTATATACATGTTGAAAAGCATTCAACAAATTCAAACATGTACAAATAAAATAGAGGAACATTTGTTGACAATAACCACCTAATTGAGCTTGGCAAATTCATATGCATTATTATATATAGGCCCTAATTAATATATATTATATAGTTAATAAATATATTTATAATTAATATGCATTTTAATACACTTTTTAATATATATATTTATATATACAAATATATTGCAAGGAAATCTAATCCAAATTATTTCCCTTTTATCTCTACTAATATTTTATATCTCTACTGTATTGTACTAACACACATGACAAATGAAAACAATAAAAAATATTTTTCATAATCGGCACATTCACTTACGTTTCAATATTAAAAATATATGAAATATCTTTTTTTTTAAATCGATCAGTATTGTAAAAATCCTATTTCTCACTATTTTTGTATACATTTCCATTTAAAATATTAAAAAAAACAATAAATAATCAAATAGACTTTCTATGGAAGAGATTAAAACTTGATTTCATTTGTCTTTATGACAAAAAGACAAAATACACTTGCACTAAAACCATTTTCTGAGCACAAATCTTAATTTCTTATGTGTTGTAAAACATTAAATGTAACATGCTTTAAGGAGTTTTAGATATTTTAACTGGAAAACGAGATTAAAAAAAATACTCATTAAAAACAGGACGTTTTGCAGTGTTAGTGGTTAGTTTAAAAAACTGACCTCCAACAGCAAAGGAGATCATGATGTCAGCTGTGCCGCTGTAGATTCGGGTGAATCTCAGAGGAGTGACATCCGCCCACACTTGCAGGGCCCTTTTGATGGAATCATCCACCTCTGCTACAGACATGTCAGGGGTGTAGTTCTCAATCCTGGCAAAAAAAGACAGCAAAATAAATATTACAAGTCCTTTTTATTCAGTTTCGTCTTACACAGTTTTGTCTGTTAGCAGGTCTCACCTGTAGGTCAGATCGTGTTTTTTCCACTTGTAGTCCCCTTGAAAAGTGGAGTACGCCGCAACGTCTGGAACCCCGCAGCGTGGCTTCTTCATCACATCCAGCGTCTCCTCATCCAGCTTCCCTGTTACCTTGAGTCTAAAGAACTGCTGCATCTCTTTCAACCTCAGACTCATGGCACTGGAGCGTTTTTCAGCGTCAGAAGTGGTCTGCTTTGGCAGGCCATATAACTGAGTCAGGTAATTCTGAAAAAAGAAGATCAAAGTTAGTTTACATTCTGTATCTAACAGCATTGTCAAAGTAGTTCAAAGCGTGCAAATTACCGCCGCAATGCTCTCTCTGTTTTTATCAGCAGGTGGCGCTATTGGGCTGGTGTAACCAGAAACCACCAAAGCGATAAGAACGCACAGCTTGTAGTAGCTCTTCATGTTGCTTCTCTTTCAAGAAACTGATGCAGTCTGTGTTTTGCTCCTCTCTTATATACACCAAAGACGGACAGATTGTGCAACACGAGACTGAGTCACATATTGCACCTTTCGCACACAGGAAACAAAATAAGGGAATGGCATGCCACCAAATACATATATATATATATATTTAGAAATAAGTAGATTCTACTGAGCACTGTATAGTCTAGTTGTAATTAAATCTCCTTGTGTCATTTATATAAAAACATTTATTTTAAAATATTTAGGAGTGGTCAACTCTCAACCAACCCAGGGACCCCCTAATACATTTCTGCATTTAGTAGCTGATAATATTAATACAGTATACTGTATAATATGTGAGAAGATGATAAGTTTTATATTGTTTTATATGGCACAAATTGAGCAAAAAATTTAAGGAAAACTCAAAAAAAAAAGTTTTTACATGCACTTTCCCATGAAGATGCATGACAATGGTCGTGAGGAATCTTACATAAACTTACTGTAACTCTTGCATAGTAACTCTTGCAATAACCATGTTATTTGTGGTAAGACCATAAGCAGACAATGTGCAGCTCCTCATTACCTACTCATGGTTAGATCAATGTTACTGTTTTCTGTAAAATGAAGTGAAAATTGTTTTATGACATAATTTAGATAGCTGCCATTTTTGTCTCTTTTACATTATTTAGCATGACTAATTGTTCATAGATTTCAGTTAAGTGACAAAGTTAAATTTGTATTTGTACAACATTTATTCTGTCCCATTTCTAGTACATCCACATTTAGTCCATTAGTGTAGGTGTGTTTGCTACAAAATCCCACTATGTCTCACATATCATCTTGAGTAGGGGAAGCCCAATGCATTCAAGACATCCTCTTTGTTCTTTAGTGTTGTAATAAGATGCATGACATGCAGATGGGTTATGACAGCGCTGCCTTAGTCATCAGTGAAATGGACCAGAATAGACTGGTTTGAAACTGTTTCTTGACAGTGTTTTTTTCAACACTGAATGGCTTCTGAGCTTATTATTAAAGACTATTATTAGCGATCTGAGTAGCTGCTTTAATTACGATGAAATCCAATAGTCCATTAGAACCAAAAATGTCCTAAACAGACTAAAATGTAGTTTACTTTAGTTTTAATACATGATGAATCTGCAAAAAGAGCACCATGATAAACTGCAAAAGCTTAAAAACATGCTATTTTTGCAGATTCATCATGTACTAAAACTAAGCTAAAATAATGAACTGCTCTATAAACAAAACTGTATCAATTGGGGAAGTTTGAGTCAGATGCTGTATCCCACACAAAAGGCTATAGACCAAATGTGTACAGTGGGGAAAATATTTATTTGATCCCCTGCTGATTTTGTAAGTTTGCCCACTTACAAAGAAATGAAGGGTCTGTAATTTTTAGGGTAGGTTTATAGGTATGTATAGAGAGAATACCAACCAAAAAATCCAGAAAAAACACATTATATAAAGGTTAGAAATTGATTTGCATTTCAGTGAGTGAAATAAGTATTTGATCCCCAAGCAAAACATCACTTAGTACTTGGTGCAGAAACCCTTGTTGGCAAGCACAGAGGTAAGACGTTTTTTTGTAGTTGGTCACCAGGTTTGCACACATCTCAGGAGGGATTTTGATCCACTCCTCTTTACAGATCCTCTCTAAATCCTTAAGGTTTCTTGGCTGTAGTTTGGCAACTCAAAGTTTCAGCTCCCTTCACAGATTTTCTATAGGATTGAGGTCTGGAGACTGGCTAGGCCACTCCATGACCTTAATGTGCTTCTTCTTGAGCCACTCCTTTGTTGCCTTGGCGGTATGTTTCGGGTCATTGTCATGCTGGAAGACCCATCCATGACCCATCTTCAGTGTTCTGGCTGAGGGAAGGAGGTTCTCGTCCAAGATTTTACAGTACATGGCCCCGTCCATTTGCCCCTCAATGCGGTGAAGTCGTCCTGCACCCTTGGCAGAAAAACAGCCCTAAAGCATAATGTTTCCACCACGTGCTTGACTGTAGGGATGGTGTTCTTGGGGTCATAGTCAGCATTTCATTTCTTCTATTTCCGAATAATCGCACCAACAGTTGTCTCCTTCTCACCAAGCTTCTTGCTGATGGTCTTGTAGCCCCATTCAAGCCTTGTGCAGATCTACAATCCAGGACTAATCTGTGTTCCACATGGGCACATAACCTCTGGGGGAGCCAGAATTCTTGCTGGTTGGTAGGGGATCAAATACTTATTTCACTCACTGAAATGCAAATCAATTTCTAACCTTTATATAATGTGTTTTTTCTGGATTTTTTGGTTGATATTCTGTGTTTATCCGTTAAAATAAACCTACCATAAAAATTACAGACCCTTCATTTCTTTGTAAGTGGGCAAACTTACAAAATAAACGGGATCAAATAAATATTTTCCTCACAGTACACACACTCTTTCATCATCACTCAATGAGATCCACAGATATGCTACTGAGGCAATTTATTTCAAAACCATTTAATGAGAACTTTACATGAATTGGAATCATGCAACAGGAAACCATCAAGCCAGACAAGGTGGATACAATGAACAAAATAATTCACAATTTGGTTCCCATCACCATAGATGGTGTGATACTGATCAACTGCCTGTAATTTCTCGGCACTGAAGCCATGTGTTTGCAGCCACTGTCTTCATTACTTGTCTAATTTTGGGGTTGAATTCCAGTTGTTGAGGTCCTGCGAAGAAATAAATACTTCCTAGACAATGATAAAGAAAATGTATTTAGTCCAAAGTGTGAAAACCATGGCCTCAATTTGATTTAATTATGCAATGTTTGGTTATGTTTAAATTCTCTGTTTTCCCCTGGGGAAAAAAAGATAGACTCATTATTCACAGTTTTGGGCTTTTTTTTTTTTTAAGAAAGTTGCACTTACATGATGTATTTTAAATTAATGGAATGATATCAAAAATATCTTCAAAAACCTATCTATTGTATATTGCATATTTATTTAAAGCATTTTATATAATTTTCCAGTTAAAATATAAAAATCCTTAAAACAAGATCAATTTATTGCACAAGATGTTGAGGGATATAGAGAAATAATAGAAAAATAGAGATATACTGGGAAAAAGACAATATCTATAGTAATAAATAAATTAATGTATAAAGTTTTGCTATCATGCTCTATTATGAACATTGAAATTATAACAAAAATATAGAACATTATTTTCACTATTATTACACTTCCTTATCTTTCGCTATCAAAAATATATGAGAATACTATTTTTTTTTTTAAATCTATCTACTGTTTATTGCAAAAACAAATCCTGTTTTTTAAGTAGTATTTTTCTAGCATTTTCCAGTTAAAATATCTAAACATATAAATGTATATATAAATTTACTGCACAAGATATTAAGGGGAAAAGGGTGTATTAATTTAATTGATCTAAATCAACTTTTAGATTTGGGTCTCTTAAGATTTTTTTAGAAGGTTTTACTAACATGTTGTATTATGAATAATAATAATAATATAATTATTTTTCATTATCACATTTCCTTATTTTTATGTTTTAGTAACAAAAGTATACAAAAATCTCTTCAAAAAATGTATCTACTCTATAAATAAAAAAAATCTGCTGTATTATACATGCTTGTGTGGATTGTTTCTACAGGGGATACCAACCATCATGAGCTACTGCAGCATCCATGGGAGAGTCTACTCCTGGCCATTCATGTGCGATAGGTTTAGGAAAACCTTCCATTATCTGCCCTACATCTTCATCAAACCTTCACATTGCAGAAAACACAAGCACTTCCGTCAGAGAAAGATGTAAACACTTGGCAAAATAACTGTTAACAAGATTTTATTCAGTTTCTCATGCCTCCAGCATTCTCCACCAATGAAGAAATCTATGAGACGTGTTTCCCGGAAATACAAAGCTGCATCGATGCTCTTAACAGTGGATGGGAATCCAAATTCCGAGATGTTTCTTGGATATCCATGCTTTACCTGGAGAGAGCTCACCTCCCAGTATTGAGGGCCTGAGTGAGACATATACAACACTAAAACTATTCCATTATATTTATGATGACGTTGAGCTATGAAAGCCTCACCTTTGAAAACTAGCATGCTGTTTGTGTTTGTGTTCTCATAGGCAGCATCTATGTGAGCTGGGAGGTCAGGCCACAAACTTGTTATTAGTGTGATTCCTATTTGCTCAAAACTGGGATGTACCCGCCAAATAAACCTGCAACAGGAGTATCAGTCAGACACTGTAGTGCAACTGTAGTAAGTACTAAAGTCAATGAGTCAATGTACACACATGGAGCCAGACTACCTGTCTTTAAAGAAAACAAGCTCCTGTTGCATGCCTGTCACCGCGTCGAATGACAGCATAGGATCACATTTATCTGGTGTTTTCGGAGGAAGTCTGTCCAAACTGATTTTCCTTTTACCTTTGACAGAAAAACAAAAGGTAGACAGTGTTGGTTCCCACAGAATGCGTTTTTCCATTCAACTGCGTTACTTTTTTGTTGTTTATCTATGTAGCTAGGTGGACATCTTTGGCTGTTGCACTTGCGTGTCGCACACTACAGCGTTCAAAAATGCAAAGTGTGAATTTCTGTGTGAATGGCTAAGCTATTCTGTCCAAGGAGCTAGAGATGTTATTGTTTTATTAAACATATGAGGGAATAATCACACGCTCTCCTAAACACTAGTGTTTGTTCATTTTTGAATGAATCTTTTAATGAATGAATCACTGTAGTTCACTTCCATATACTGATTCATGTTCGTTAACTGAAGTCGCTCGGTTAGTGCAAGGTACACATTTTAAAATGATGTTATTTATGTGTGGCATTTTAATATATCTTGATAAACATATCATAATAAACATTTAATAAAATGAAGACTTAATGAGGTCGACTCCCTGCTTTTTTAAAGAATCGGTTAAGTGATTCAACGACTAACACTCCGTAAGTATCAGGCTATGCCGCCACCTACTGGCATAACACAGGC